AAATGACCGGAACATCGGAACCGTAAAGTATTTTTTATTAACCTCAATTCAAGAACCATACAACATACTGTGACGTTCGTTAATATCTCCAAACGTTCCAGTTCGCCACAGATTTGGTCGACGTCACGAAAAGGGATCCGGAGTTAGCGACGTGCGCAACAAAACTCTCAGTAAGAGCGCGACCTATGACCACAAAGACTGCAACCGGAGGTAGAAGCGACTGGAGAGTCCGTCAGAGAAAGGCCACGACGTCACGCTTCCTTTACATGGAGAAGGCAAGTGCATAAGTCGCTAGGAGAGCGAAACGGAGCCCCTTCATTACGAGACGTCGTGATGCGAGCTCATTATTCTTGTGCAAATCGCAGTCGTGTCAGTATGTTCCTCTACTACGAAACGCTTTCATATGAATTATCATGTTCGTACGAAAACGTTGTGCTGGTGATCATTTTTTTATGAGTTGAAGTTCAGTTTATTGCAAATGAAAAAACATTATATAAATTTCTTTCGTTGCGATAACCATGCACGCAGCGTGATTAAACAAGTTGGTTGTGGTTTCAAAGAGGATGTTCGTCAGAGAAGTGAGTCTTAGTTTGGGAAGGATAAGTCCACTGATGTGGACTTATGTAAACGCGCACTTTCATAAATTGTATTTTTGTGTTTGTTTATTGCTTTAATACACGAGCGTGGTTTATATGATTTGTATGTGTTGGGGTGGAATTTTCCCTTTCTTGCACCCACGAAGATCCCACGTCACTCAGATAATTGAAGCTCTTCCTAGAGCATCGGCTGGCGTATCGTCATTAAGCGTTCCGTATCTCATTGAGGCGGGGTGGACGTTAGAATACATGAAAATTACTTTGAATGTTTTTGTTAAAAACCTTTATTAATGCAATAATTGCCGATCAATACAAATACACAACAGCAAAGCGTCGGATGGTGGGTGGTGAGAGTGGTGAAGGGTGGACCAAGAGGTGCTGATGGGTCAAAGTGGTGGTGGGTGGTGAAAGTGGTGGTGGGTGGTCAAAGTGGTGGTGGGTGGTCAAAGTGGTGGTGAGTGGTCAAAGTGGTGGAGGGTGGTGAAAGTGGTGGCGGGGGGTGAAAGTGGTGGTGGGCGGTCAGAGTGGTGTTGAGTGGTCAAAGCGG